TGTTTTTTGGAGCAAAAATTAATATAAGACCCTGTCTTATTTTGGGGGAAACATGATTTATCTTCAGTTTTTATACTGTAACCACACCCCAGCCAAGTTTATAAAGCTACAGGGGCAAAGGAAGAGCAAATGACTCTACGAAGACACTGCTGTTCTGAAATCAGGAACATGATTCATAAGGAGAAAGTGGTTCATACATTATAACTGCTTGCATTTCTTTTGGTACTTCTATGAACCTACTTTTCTCAAAGAGATGTTACATCTATATGAAAACAAGGAGTTTACAACCAGCAGTTCCCCAAGCCAACAGGACTCCACACTTATTTTCAGTCAGCTGGGAAGACATTCCCTGAGAGAAAGGTTATTTATCTGGCTATTGAGACCACTGATTTAGACTATTCCACTTTTAGAAATATGACATTAGTCTACTCTTTCAAGCAATAGTGAAACAGGACCTCTTTCTTAGAGGCAGAAAGTCTTAAAGTTCCTAACGTTGGGGACAGACACACAACTTTTATCTTATTTGTAGACTTCTGTCACAGATCTGGGGGAGGGGATGACTTTCCCTACAGTGGCTCCCCTCACTTACAGGGGGTTCCCTGCAAAATAATTATTACTATGCTGCTTCCAATCTGGATCAGACTTTTGACATTATCCTATTCTGACCAACTATTGCAGGGCTAAGCACATTGCAAAAGACCTCTTCAGCTCAACTCTTGAGGGGAAAAGGGGTTTATTTCCTACAAATAACTAAAATCTTGTAGAACTCCTAGAAAGACAATGGTGTTGCCTTTCATGCAGGGAGAAGAGTTTTATTGGAATTTACTATTAGAACAATACTGGTGGGTTTCAACTATATTTACAAAAATGAGCTAATGGGATGGAGAAGATGGGGAGGGAAAATAGGAAAAATACGAAGGCATGGCACAACTACACACAGAAAGAGAATTCCAAATCAACTCAATTAAATTAACAAGTTATATGTTACACAGTTAACTAGTCTTCAGTTTCAAGGCAGATGCAGAATTTCAGATCGTCTGAGAGGCAGAAAGCATCTTGGTTTTTGATTACACATTATGATGATTATCCTCGAGGAATGTGCAAATTGTTAGTTGTATGGGAGTCTGATTTCAGTAACTCGATCACCCTCCTACAGTGACTTTTGTTTTGACAATTATATATCTCCTACTTCTCATGTCAGTGGACTAGCCAGCAACTTAAAAAATGTAGCTCAACCTACCTTCTTGAGGGCCCTAAACGTACACTGCAAAAGAACCAGCTGGTTTGAAGCTGATGAGTTTTGAATGTGTACTGGAGAAATAAAACTGCAGAAGGGGCAAACTCCTATACTACTCTTGAATATATGGGCTTGTTATCGCTTCCCAAAAGCATTTGGTTGGGCACTATTGGAAACAGAATTCAGGAAAAATACACTTGAAAATAACTGCTGGACAACTCAGTGATTTAGGTATCTGACTATAGAGCCACTGATTGGGAGTTTGAGTCCCCCTGTGCCTCCTTGACAGGGGCTGAACTCGATGATCCCTTCCAGCTCTGTAGTTTTAAGATGATGGTGATGATGATTAACAACTAATGTTCTTACGTTGTAACTTCAAAATAAAGCAGTAATACAGGTTAATACATAACAGTAGAAGAAGATCTGAACAAACTTTGGTACTGCTTGAAGTATTTTGACAGGAATACAAAAGACAATAAAAATTATACCAATTAATTCTACAATGACATAAGTTTAAATGCACAACAAACATCAATTGTTTTGAGAGACAATTCAAAAAATTAAAGAGTGAAAGCTTAAAATCAGGTATGCCTTGCATAAAAAGATTATGAGAAAGTGTTGATTGGTTTTCTGCAAACACAGACAAGCATATATTGAGATCAGATTGCTGGCTTCCTGCTATGTGCAGAGGTTGAGAAACAAAGCCAGATTTATGTGATCAGTGTAATTCATTAAACTGATAATCATATACATTATTAGGTATTTGTTTCTCACATATATTTCTACTTCATCTTAGGACTGGCTACAGAAAGTAGTTACAGCAGGCAGGATCTTTATCTTCCTATGAAGTTTTAGTGCCTTGCTATGCCAATAGTTATTGCAGCAAAAACAATATAGGAAGTGATTAATTGGTATAGGACACAGATATGATACTTAAGAAGTCCAAGCACTGGTCTTCTTCAGAACAGTACATGGGTTTGGCAGAATGTGAAAGTATGATATCTGAAAACTAAAATGAGTTAATTTCATGCTTAGTTATGGCTATCATCAACATGAATGAGCTATGCTTGCCTGTGTTTGCACCTTCTCCATGCTTTTTCATCTCTTGGCTTCGCCCATTTCACAGCACATAAAATGTAATGCAAAAGGCAAACAAAACATGATGTGACTACAATAAAACTTTCCTCATGGTTTGTGTTGGAGTTAGCACAATCCAAGTATGTACCGGCAACTACATAACATACAGCTAAGCTCAGGAAAGCCTGATATTTTTCTATGAGCAGTCAATGTGTTTCGGTCCACCAGCAAGATTTCCTCATATTCTGTGCCAATTCTGCAGATACTGATTTTCTTCAGTTTCTCTCATATGATTGCCTACCTCAGTCCAAAACCTACTCCTATTGTTCCCTTGGAATGAACAGGCATATGTTGAAGAAGAAGAAGAAGAACAACAACAACAACAACAAAGATATGATTTTATACATAAGATAGCCAATTACAGTAATTTAATTGTACACAGTACAAACTGCACAAGTTGATAAAATATTAATGTAGAACACCCCCTGTGAACCCAAGTGTGACAGAGAATAAGCTGAAATAAAGAAAAGGCACTCACTCCCAAAGTTTCAACAATATCACTTTCTGAGTCTGGCCATCCAGGAAGGATCAGAACCACTGTAAAACAGTACATCCAAGACTCAGCCCAGAAAGGCACCCCAGGATACCATGGCTGAGGTTGTTGAAAACTGCTGAGAGGTCCAGCAGAACCAACAGGGTTACAGTCCTCTTGTCCAGTTCCCAGAATAAGTCATCCACCTTGGAAACATCATCCACCTTAGATCCACCAAGGTGGCCAAGGCTGTGTCTGTTCCACCACGAGGCCTGAAGCCAGACTGAAAGGGTTCCAGTTAATCCGCTTCATTTAGGAACCACTGGAGCTGAGATGCCCTGACAGGCTCCAAGACTTTGCCCAAAAATGTAATCCTGGAAACTGGCCAATAACTATCCAATACAATGGGGTTCCAGGAGGGTTTTTCTTTGTTGTTTTTCATTCATCCCAACCTGAAAGTCCCATGCTTTGTAATGACATCTTGGAACTGACTCCCACAATCACTGTCAACATTTTCACACTGTCAACGTTCATGATCACATGTGAACCAACTATAATAACTTCCATTAGCAAAGAAACAAGTGCTACACCCTTTAAAGACACACATACAGTATATGGCCATCTCATGTTGTACTTCATGCAATTCTAGGTGCTCAGGTGCCCAAATATAATGTCACGGAGATCAATCTTTGGCAATAGCGCCTGCACAAACTGGCACAGTAGAAATATGATCGATGTTGAGAGCCGTCCTAGCATGACAGCCTCTTCTAAAATGCTGTGACTATTTTCTTTTTCTTTTGCAGCTGAATGGCACTACCCATACTCACACAAAAGAACATGATTGCTAATGGATCTCAAAGAAATAAACTGATAGGTTGTGACACTTTTTTCAGATCCGCACGTCAACCTGTTCATGACATGACATGGGGGAATGCTGTTAAATGCTATTTTTTCTTTATTTCTTTTGAAACAGCACAGAGAGAAAAAAGAGAAAGAGGCTCTTTTTTAAGAAAAGAAAAGAAATCAGTGTTGCATACAAATATAGGTTTTCTGCCAGTTGTACTAAAAACTGTGCCAATTTGTTAGAGGAATATTTTCTTCAATGCAGTCACACAAAACCTATGTAACCCCTTCCATTTTAACTGAAGGGATTCCAAAACCACTTCTCTGACAAATGCATGAACTTCTGAAAAGTAGAGAATTTTCCTTGATTGCTTTACAATTATGTTTTTATACAGTTGCAATAATATGACTTCCCAATATCTTCTGGGATCCATGCAGACATTTCTATCATGTTGGGAAGCCTTTATTATTTATTTATTTATTTATTTATTTAATTTATATGCCGCCCACACTACCCAAAGGTCTCTGGGTGGCTGCACTACATGAACAAAAGCACAATAGAAAGTGTAAAATTGATAGCAACAATTGCCTATGTGATAGTGTGTGTGCATGCAGACATGGATGCACACACATATATGTAGATATGTCCTTGCACACGTATGTTGCCCCCCTCTAGCACTATTTTGTGCAATCAGGACCACATCCAAAAAGATAATTTGTTAATGGATTATACATTTTAAATTTGGGTAATTATCTTTTAAAGGGTTGGCCTAGAACCACTTTACCTCAAGACATGCCTCCTTTCATATATTCCTGCCCAACTGCTAAGATACAATTTAAAGTTCTTCTCTAGATGCTGCTGCCCACAGTGGTATGATAACTGTCTGCCAGGCACAGTGCCATCTCGGTAACGGCCTCACATATCTGGAATGCACTCCCAGTGAGATCTACATGGCACCTCTATTAGTAGCATTTAAACACTAGCTTAAAACCTCTCTTTTTAAGAGACATTCAATCCTTGAGTCTACTGCTGGCTCATAACATCACTTTAATATTTTAACATTTTAATACTTTAATATCATTATTGGATTTTTGTTCTTTTAGATGTTTGTGTTTTTGTAGTGTTCTTGATTTTCGTTGTGTGTTTTTTTAATTTTGTAAACTGCTTGAAGGCCTTATCAATCAGGTCAGATATAAAATCTTTCAATCAAACGAACTAACTATTTCCCTTGCTGCTTCTGATCTTTGATCAGAAGATACATAATCTATCTGAGAGACGTGAAACCTTATCATTAAAAAAGATTTACTTACCATGTCAGCCTAAATGATCTTCTTCAGCACTTTATTCTTAGTTTTCAAATACATCTGTCCATCTGCTCGTCTGACCTACAGGAGAATAGGAGTATTCTTCAGTATTCTTTGACTTTTTCAATTGCAAAACAAAACCATATCTTGTCAAATATTTACAGATTTTCTACAATTTCACATATTGAGTATTTATTTATTCAAGTAATCAAGTAATTTATATCCTGTCTTATAATTTGTACAAATTTTCAAGGTCGCTCACAATTTAATATAACGTTATAATATAAGAAACTGTAAAATACAATGCTATAAAGAGTAAAAGTAGCAGGCAACAGTGAAAAAAGAGAGATAAAACAGCAAGCAAAACTCCAGGAACTTCACAAAACATTATTACTCTATCAATTATTCATTAAAAGCACTGAAAGCATATATACAACCATTATTAGAACTTAACACAATACTTCATCCCTGGTTTTGCCTCCTCTCTAAAACATATACAAAGATATGGTGGGGAACATTTCCATCTCCCCCCACCAAAAAAAATCAGGTATGTTAAAGCATTTTATTGGATGACTAAATTTATAGTTGCAAACTGATGGTTCTTGATTAGTATTGTTAATTTCTGACACTATCATATAATCAACCAAAACTGCAGTACAGTACAGTAGTTAGTTTTACTCTAACTGTAATTTCTGTCATACATGTGGAGTGTGTTGCCATATGCAGTGAGACTCAAGAGCTACAACTACATAAATTAGCATCGTAGGTGCCATCCTAAAGGACAATGTTTTTTTCAAAACAAGTAGCTTATTATAAATTATACCTCTTTCTACTGTGCATTAGGATAGAGTACCTTGATCTATCCTTTTAGTAATGAACACCAATAGTGATGTACATATTACAGGCAATGTCTCCTGTCTTTCTAAGCAGAATTTCATTAATATGAATTAACTAATTTCTCTTATTACATGAATCAGTCCTAGCACATCTTAACTACAATGTTTTGCTAACAGGGTGATTAAAGGATGAAAGAATCGTGTTATGTAGTGAGATAATACAAGGCAGTTTTCTAGCTTCTCAAATTAGATTAAAAGCTATACATACTGTATGTTGCAAGAATTGTACATTATAGAGTTTTATCTGAAAGGAGGTTTAGCAATCTCCCATGGAGCTTATACCCAAATAGGGATGCTCAAAATGGGAAACAACAGATTTAATTCTTTTTTCTTCTTTCAATAAGGATTCCAATCTGTGATATGTATAAGTATGGAACTATACATAAATGGTAACTATTCTGAAGTAATTACCTTAAGTTAGGAGGTGACATTTTATTACATATATAGCATAGATGTCAAAAAAGAATTTTTAAATTATAACTATAATTATCACCACAAAAACACTAGCGATTAGTTTTTGTAAACTCCCCTGGTATCATAAGACAAACAGCAGACTAAAGTATATTAAATAAATAGATAAAACAAGGAAGCTTAAAATACCAGATCTATCCAACAGTTCAAGTGAAGTGTTCTGTTCAAAAATGATTTAGCATTTGCATGACTGAATTTCCTGAAAGTCACTCTTCTGCTAACTGTTATCACTATAAGGGCATTTTTGCTTTTAAGAATGTTTTGTTCCTAGCAATGGATGTTCAGTCATCTGATCTCTTCCAAGGTCAATGTCTTCAGTAACTTAATAACGATTACATCATTCCCCTCTATCCATCTCTAGGACAATTACATCACTGATCTATAATAGTGGTCTGTGCTTAGTATTAGCATATTCATATTAACAACAGAGTGCATATATTCCCAGCTACTTCGTTTACTAAAAGCAGCACAGTTCTCAAAAGATTTTCTTTCTTAAAAGATTTATTTTACTATCTGTGAATAAATATATGTCAAAGGCAAACCAAAACACAGTTCACTCAGAGTAAATTGCCTGTGGGCTTGCTTAATGAACCCAGGGATAATGAAGGTTATTTCAGCCTATTAACGGGATGGAGCAACCTTACATCAGATTGATTTGGGTGGCTGGGAGAATCCCACAGTCCTGTAGCAATAATCTCTTTCTCAATACTGTATCTGTTTTATTTCATCCGTCTAATTTCATCCCCATCCCTTGCCTAACAACATAACATACAAGACTACCAAGACTACTTGCTGGGCTGGTACACAAACAAACCTGCCCTGAAAATACTGACTACTCACTGATTAGCAGGATTTATCTGTTTGCTTCAGTGAGTAATCCTCATGCTTACCAAGGTGGTTATCCTTAAATCATTTACTAGAAAAATTAAAGTAAGAGGCACAGAAGTCTTTGGCCAAAGTAAGTTCTATTTTTACCAGAGGTGGGGAAAGTGGCAACAGGAGTGGGGGGATGGTAGGAATGCTCCAAGACAGTTTTACCTAGCCAGCATTCTCCTTTCAATCTACACCAAGGGTTTTAAACTCAATTTATCTGGGGGCCACTACAGGCTGAGGCTGGGTGAGGCTGGGCCGTATCAGATTTTCTGCCAAGTGGAGCAAGAGCCTGAGGAAGCTGCTCAGGAGTTTCCTTAGCTGACAGACAGGTGGGCTGGCTGGCAGACTGCACTTCTGGATGGAGGGTGCAAGAGGTGCTGTCTTAGGAGAGAGCCGGCGAGTGAGGCAAGGCTTTTTTTTTACTCTTGACAGCAGAGGGTGTGAGGGCGCTTTGGGGGGGCAGGCAAGGCGAGGGCCACAAACTATCATCTGGGGGGCCACAAATGGCCCCCAGGCCTCATATTTGAGACCCCTGATCTACACGGATTATAAAGTTGCTACAGCCTGGACTTGGAACCTCAAAATATTTTCGTATTATGTCAGATGGCATCTTCTCACCCAAGCTGCAACACAAACAAACAAACAACAACAAAAAAACCAAACCAAACAAACAAAAAACCCCACCAACCTTGCAGTTTCTCAAACTTAACTGGGGCTTCCTAATTATCCCTTACTGCTCAACAGTGTCTCTCTTCAGCCTTTCAGGGTCATTACAAAAATGGGAGAAACCGCCCATACTGGATGGCAAGTAGAGCTCTGCTTGTTTCAGTGCTACCCTGTGGTAAAATGTGCACTTGCATATGAAATGTAAGTAAATCAGGATAAAGGTCAAAGTAATTTTTGTATTTGACATAGTACTTTTCCATACATTTGTTTAAAAGGTTAAAAAAAACCCAAAGAGAGTATAATAATAATAATCTTAGAACTGCAGAGCTGGCGAGGAACCTATGGATCCCTGAGTTCAGCCCCTGTCAAGGAGACACAATCAAACTCCAAACCTATGACTCTACAATCAGATATCTGAACCACTCCACTATCTAGCAGTTAATTACTGGCCCATCATCTAAGCAAGGGTATGTCTCATTCCACAGTGGCTAGGTCATCCCTATTCAAACCACAGACTATCTCTAAGGTGTATCAGACATATGAGCTCTCATTAGCTATTAGCGATAGAGTTCAGGAAGGACTGCAGCACATTAATTTTGCACATCACAACTGGTGTGGGTGTTATGTACTCTAATGGCCTGTTCAGTCACTCTCTCACTCGCTCATATGTGCATATGCAGATTAACTTTAAGACAAGAAGAATTAATATAAAAAGTATCCTTCAGCTTCCTAATTTTGCTCTATAATGCTTCTTTCTTTAAATTTACCAAAATGGAAACCAAAAGCTACATAATTATAGAACATTATAATGCAATTTCCCTACAAATAACCTATCTGTGCAGTATGGCATATACTTCATAGGAAGAGCTAAATAAGTTAAGTGCTACCTTTATTTCAAGACTACTAGCACTTTACTACTGTCTCAGAACCTAACAGTAACCTGTGGGGAACAAAACCTCTAAGTGCATCCAAAAAATGTATCTTGGTGGGCTGTCCCCTTTAGACCTGTACCCATCCTTGGACTTCTCAGAGACCCTAGTGGCCTGAGGGGGGCTCCAGCAGAAGTCTGATGGTAGATGAGTCACACCTGGAGGTGGGGCTGAAGCCAGGGTGGGATGGCAGGAACCAGACTTAAAAGAAGGGGAAGAAGTTGTTTGTTATAATTGGAAGACTGTGGCAGCAGTCACAGTCTAACACAAAACAATTTATCATGCCTGCCTCTGAAAAGCAAACTGATAATCTCTTGAAGTAACATCTAACAACATATTTCTTTTCAAAGCAACCAAACAAAAATCTCTCTAAAATATCTGGTACTGCTGATTTTTCTCTTTTTCCTTGTTCATGTCAGAAACACAACAGTACAATTAAGAAACGTATCAGAACATTTTTGCCCCAAAACAGACTACACCATAAAGCCTTCTTTAGTACATGCTGAGGATTATAAAGCACACTGACATAAGTATGAAGCTGCTTGTTCTCTCTACACTTTCAAAAGACTGTATCAATGCAAAAGGCCCATTTTGTTTGGTTCACTTTGGCTTTCTCAGCCCCGTTCTGAAGCCTACTGAGTGATTTCCACATAACTCAGTTCTTTATGTTACCAGGGATAACATGAAGAAAGTCCCAGGGACTTTCCTGGGATTCCATCTATTTAAAGAGGTGGGTCATTCATTCTTTCCACATTGTATCACAGCATTCTCTGCTGTTCCTTCAAGATTTACAGATGTTGTGAAAAACTCTTCCTTGATTTTAATCTGGGAGGGGTAAAATAGTAACCAAAGAGTGAGTACATGTTTGATATACTGCTTTGAGTCTTTTGCTATTTAGCTGCTATCACTCTCAGTATGTGGCTGGGTGCAATGCTACTAGATACCTAATTTTATCAATAGGAGCTGGCTTCAGGCTTTCAGTAATACAGTGGTGCCTCACTTAGTGATGTTAATCTGTGCAGCAAAAATCACTAAGCGATGATATTAAAAAGCCCATAGAAACGCATTAAAACCTGATTAATGTGTTCCTATGAAATAAAAACTAACCTTAAAGCGCAGATCCTCCATAGGAGCGGCCATTTTCAGTGCCTCTAAAGTGAGGCAAAACAGCGGGTGGCCATTTTGTTTACCCAGCAGCCATTTTGAAATCGCCGATCAGCTGGCCGAAAATGGGGGCTTTGCGATG